TATACATCTTTATAAATTAAAATTACGTTTTTTCGTCAAAGCTCCGACGATCAAGCATTAGATTGGATCGATCGTCGGAGCATTCTTATTCCAAAATCAAATATCACTTGTTCACCAACAATGTTTCAAGACACATCACATCATTTATCACAAGAACAAATTACATTTCTTAATCGTGGACCAACATATGTTCCACCATGTCAAATACATATTTTATCAAAATCTTCTACAACATTAGCTCAAATTGTTACGAAACAAATGGCACCACTTCGACGAGAACTTACAAAACTTTTCACTCAATATTCAGTTGATCTTTCTCGTCGAATGAATTTTGAAAAAGAGATTCAATTATCATTCAATAAGTCATTTCTACAATCGATGCCTTCTGTAGTTGAAGAACGTGCATTCTATGAAAAAGAACTCATCCAATCAATTCGAATTCAAATAAAAAAACAACAACTTATTCTACGACGAACAGCTGACGATATGAATACATATTATCTCGGTCGATTGGATGAATTTAATCAAAAATCGAATGAATATGTTGAAAATTCAACTTGTTATGAATTAATTGAAACTATGGATGAAACTCATACAGAACAACAACAACAACAATTACAAGAAATTATCATATCTATCAATTCTCAATTAGAAAAATTATATCAAAGAAAATTAATTAATAAAGATCAACTAACCAAATTTAGTATTCATAAGAGATTAAAGTTGAAATTGCCATATCTTTATTTCTTACCAGAAACAAATGAAAGTGTACATATGTCAGTTCAACCAAGATTTTCATCTTATCAATATTCTCCAATACAACGATTAGCACAATATCTTAATCAACTTCTTCGATCATTATTTTATTTTATTTCTCAATCAACTACATTTTTGAATAGTGGTGATTTTATGCAAAGACTTCAATATTATTATAAACAATTAAATCTTTTTCTACCAAAAACACATTTAGCAACATTTAAAATTCATGATTTATATACAATGATATCATATACACCTCTTCTTAATGCATTATATGCATTCTTAGCTAATCCACTTCTTATTGGTCGACATGAAAAATTATCGAGTGAAGCTATTGTAGAATTAATTAGTCTAGTTCTAAAAAATAATTTTTTTACATATAATGGAAAAACTTATCGATTTATTAAAGGTGGTCCATTAAATTTACCATTAACAGAATTATTAGGTAATATTTATTTACATGATTGGCAAGTACCATTAGTTAGAAATGTTCGTATCCGAGAAGCGTTGTATGGTCGTTATAATGATATAGGTTTTCTAACATGGAATTCATCTATCGAAGAATTACAAAAAATATTCGATGAACTTCAACAAGAACTAGATTCGAATCTTCAAATGACAACATTTATTGGTAGTGATGTTCATTTTTTCGATGCATTTATTGAAAATCAAAATGGTTGTTTATATACAAGGATTTATCACGATTCAATAAGTCAACCATTTTTATTACCCTACTCATATAGGCATCCACGATTATTTCATCGACAATGGTTTCGTGCTGCTCTCATACGTGCTGGTCAATATTGTAGTTCATTTGAAGATTTCGAAGAAGAACGACTTTATCTTGAATTAACCTTTCTTGCTAATGGATATTCATTTGATTTTGTCGAATATCATTTGAGACAATTCTTTTCACATTTTAATTCAAAGTCAAACAAACCAATGAATCTTAACCGATTCACATATCTTTCATTTCGTCAGGAATTATTTCGTTATGTCGATCAACTAAAACATGATATGGAAGAAGAACAAGAATTACGCAAGCATCATCGATTAATACAATTATACTATTTATTCGATTGGGGTTCAAGATGTCAATTCAATGAAAAATTCCATAAATTTTGGTCTGACATTCTCGAACAAGATCCACACTTTAAAGCGTATGGATTGAAAATCAAACTTAATACTAAACATTGTTTTTCATCAAATACTCTTTTAGCTCTACCGAATACGCATATATGAAGTGAGAGAATTCAGTTTTCAGTTTGTCTTCAGTTTTACAAGCTTTTTCTCTTTGATTTTTTTTTGTCATATAATATCATTTATTTATGCTATCTTTTTCTTCTATTTTTTTTTAATATATCCTGTTCTACTAGTCTAAGTTTAGTTTTAATATTGCTTCTCATTATTTTCTTTCTATTGTAGATCTATTCGAATAACATAACAATGCAACAATACACTTGTGTGTGTTTTTCTTTATCGATTCTTTATTTATCTCTCACTACTTGTGATACTCTCAGATGTAGTGAATCAAAAGAGAATCAATACGAAAATGTTATCTTAAAATTAGAAAAATCCATACAAACAATATACTTCTTATTCACAATAATATTTATTGGCATTATTTCGTTGTATTTCATCATATACTCTCGAATAAAACAACAGAATAAATCTTCTTCAGCATCAAAGACAATGTCAACGATTAATAATAACATTAATCGAAATATAAATGAATTACCACAATTTAAACCAATAAAACCTTGTGTTTTATTATATATCTATCGAGCACAAGCACAATTCGTCTTGGACGAATTGATTACCGAAGCAAGAAAAACTAAAATATTTACAATTGTTCCAAAAATTGGTTCACTATTTTCAAATTATATGTTTATACATGTTGAACTAGTTCAAGATTCACAAACAATAATTGCTCTCATCGAATATTGCACTGAAAGAGATAGAAATTCATCATATTATCATATACTTCATAATTTCTTTACTATTATATTTGATTCCTCGAAAACAATTCAAACATGGGGAAATCTTCTTGATCTGTTAGTACCTTATGCACAGTATGGTCTATTTGCATCCAGTGATGTAAGTCAAGCTCAGTCGATTAATGTTCAAAAAATATTTAAACCATGGTATAATAATATATTTCGTCACGATATACAATGCCAACAATATCGAAAATATGATGAAATTGACAGTTCATTATGTACATGTTGTCATCGACCCTATAAATCATCATCATGTCAATGGTCCATATCAAAAGCAATTGCTTATACATTTGATGAGCGTTATGATTACTATATGCATGACATTCATAAATGTTTAGCTATTACTAAACTAGGACATGTTATTAATGAGAAATGGACAAGCCAAAAATTAAATGCTTATAAACAAAAACAATTTATCAAGAAAAAAGTAAACAGATTATTTTGGACTAAGAATAATTTCAATAATGAACTACTAATCGTATCTTTTATCTTGTCCTTTTTTGTTTTTAGAATCCATGACAACATTACAAAAAATCCATCGCATAACAAATAAAATAAACTGTTCAACATAATGAGATTGCTTTGCATGTTTTTATTAAATTTCGTTAAATAAGTTTCTTCTTTTATTCGTTTTTTTATACATCGCTCCATTTTTCTATTCGATAATAAGAAATTTTTCTTTATTCAATTGTAGATCAAATACTTTTGATGAACATAACCATTTTCTAAAAAGGCAAGAAATGGATTGATAAAATGAACTCGACTAATTATGCAAAAGATGAAAATTTCAAAAAATTATCAATGATTATTTAATTGTAGTTCAGGTTGTAGAATTGTTATCTTACCATGAAATCAATCATGACAAATGAAGTTTATTATTATATTATTCAATCGTATATAAATAATATGATTAGTATCGAAATGATATCTAGAAATTTACAAGACAAATGAATTCATCATCTATTAGCTGGTTTCATTTTAAATCATTATACAATGTCTCTAATTTTTGTTTGCTGTAACAAAACAAAAAAGGTTATTCTATTCGGTAATAAGTTAAATATTGATGAAAATGAAGAAGATAATATCGTTTATAGACTCACAATTCGTCTCTCTTTATTGTTCTCATTTCCCTACTCTCACTCTCTCTCCTACGCTAAATTTTTCTCTTCGACTATTATACGGTACATAAAATTACGTAGTTACATTTGGGCACGTCTTAAGGGCAGTGTTTGCTAAAAATGGAATCTCATAAGGGGCAAATGGGGAAAAAATGTAGTTATTTCAATGACGTTATAACATTGTTTTACGTCTTCGCTTTAAAAACATTTTGGTAAAAAAAGGGGGTGCATGTATACAAAAGAAATGGAATGCTATAGTGGAGAAGCACCCCCGTTAGCTCAAGAATTTTCCCACTTGAAAAAAATGAATTGTACAGTCCAAAGGGCGTTCTCTCTCTCTTCGTCCTATTTAAACTCATGTTTTTTGCTTCTAGTCTTTATTTCAACTCAAACAATATATCAAGTAAGTACCATTTATATCATTGTTAGCTCTACCATTATTAATATAAATAGATAGACATATAGAAGCAAATGAGATATATATATATATATGAATAAACATATGCTAATTTAGTTCAATTGAATTTCGGAATTAAATATGCTTCCTATGAATTATCTTGAATATACGTATCAAGATTTAGATACCGGTGAAATTTATTCCATTTAATCTTTCCATAATACGGGATAACATATCGAGCAAATCGATTTATTGACTGAATTTTACTTTTTATCACTTGTTTTGTTTATTTGTCTTTTATTTTATTTGAAGTGTTTCATATTCAGTAGAATATTATTCATCAATGATTTTTCCTTATTCTAGATTCATTCTTTTTATTTTTGTTCAGACATCTACTCAATTATTATCAATTGAAATATGTCTCGTAGAAATATTCAACGTCGTCCATCGATCATATTCGTATCAGACGAAGAGACTGATGAGAAAAATGATACTGTAATGGACACAGAATTTTCTACACCAATGGCACAATATGTTCATTCAGATGTAATACAAACAAATGAACGACAATCAGTTCTACCACTATCGACACCAATACGTTCATCAGCTCGAAGACAGCGAACAACAACTACTACTACTACAAGATCACAAGGATTTGAAGTGATCGAGTTAGTAACACCAAAAAAATCACCGACTATTCATTGTCAACCAAATTATATACCACGTACAATTCATTTTTTTAATCAACAACGTTTATCAATTTTACCTAAATTTCCAACAACAGGTAATACTACTAATATACATTTATTATTAGCCAATGTACCTATGGCTCAATTATCATCCGAAGAATTGGCACGTCGTCAAACTGGTCAATATAAACCACTCTTTACAATTTCAAATTATGATCCGTCAGTATCATCATTTATGGTTAATAATTATTATACATATTTTGGTCCCATAGTTGAACGTTTCAAGGTTGATGTAGCCATTTTAGATTATAATTATGGACTTTTAAAAAATTATCTTAAATTATACCGTAGTGCTCGTCTACAAATTCTATCAACTGACAAATTTTCAGAAGATCAATTCTACTTAAGTGATACAGAATTTCCACAATTATTTGAATTCTTTTTACAAATGGATGTTGATCTTTTCTATATGAAAACATGTTCCTTTCGTGATGCACAACCAAGATCAATAACAGAAGGTATATTTTGTTTAAATATACCTGATTGTCTTTATACAATGTCAAGATGTGGTGATTGTAATTTATGTCAACAATCAAATGATATCAATTATCGTCAACAAGCACCAGTCTTATTTAATCGTTATGAAAGACATCGATTTGTTAATGGCTATGAATCAATATTAAATTGTCCGGCAACATGTCATACAAAAAATTATATTTATGTTCTAACATGTGTATGTGGTCAATTTGAATTTATTAGTGAAACAAAATTTGCATTAGATGTTCGATTACGTGGTCATCGTTTTATTGGTAACAATCTTATACGTAAATTTTTAGTTGGTGAAAACAATCTTAAACATATTCAACTTACACAAGAACAATCAACGCCATTACACAAAGAAAATATGTTATTATATCAACATTCAATGCAATGTTCAGCAGCTATACAAATGTTTTTAAATAGAAATGAAGATTATTGGAGATTTGTACCATTACCAAATGATCAAGCTAATCAAGATAATGCTCGTTATCAAAATATGCGAGCAACAACAGCAACAGCAACAACAACAACAACAAGGACGAATATTCGTCCAAATCAGACTATTGAAAAATATCTTCAGAATATAAGAAAACCACCACAAGGATATAAATTTTCAAAACGTCAAATAGAACAACAAATTGAATTCTTTGAAAAAAATATGATTAAAAATCCATTTCATGAACAGATTGATATTTATCATGC